GTGAAACTTTGATTTTTTGAAATAAAATCATCAATTCCGTCATACCACCGTACCAGAGGAGCCCAAGAAGGAAGAGGATTGCCATCAGAGAAGAACAAGGGCAAGAAGGAAGAAAAGAATCTGTTTAAAATATTAAAATTTTATACCCATTCCTTCCAGTTTGAAGTAACAATTCAATCAAGTTCCAGGTCTAAGTGTTTACCATTGTGAGGGAATTGAAAAGTTCAAAAACAACCATTAATTGTGTTTGTGTTTGGTGAATTGCTCTTTCATCTAGGCTACTATATTCATACAAGTAAGAAGCTTATTTTCTACATCTTTTGTTCATTTTTTATTTCTTATTGTGACTTTGAATCATGTGAAAGTTCGTTACTTGCTCTTACAGTGTTGGCTGAAGGTTGAAGGTAAATCCATTTTGGCATAATTCATTAGGTACAAATTGGGTTTGTAATATTGTAATTTTTAGAATATTTGTCTACAGCGTGTTTCCCTTAGTTTATTTGGTTTTTTTCCTCACACAAGAATCTATGTATTTATAAAGTTGAAGCAATTTTATTATTGTGTCACACACCTAAATGGCCAAAATTAACTATAAAATTTCTAATGAAATGATTGATGATTCTTTAATCCATTCAGCATTTTCTTACCATTTAGCAAAGAAAAATGGGATATTTTGATTTTTGTTTGCTAGACTAAGCCCCCGTTTGGCCCTCGTTATTTCAATTTATACTTTTTGGAATAATATCTTTTTGGAGAATGTGTGATTGGAAAAAAAGAAAAAAAATTGATTTATGTGTAATAATATTTTATGAAATATTCAGTGGTTGAAAATAAGTGAGAGCAAATTATGATTTGAAATAATGTGGCCAAACGGGGGCTAAGATTCTTATTCTTAGGCATAATATAACTTATTAATAGAGATGGTAGAGTAGTAATATAGATAGAGAGAGATTGATTACTATAAAATTTGGGAAGGAAGAAAACTCATCATGGCTACTGACCAATAATTTAGTTTCATGAAAATGCATTCTCTTGTTTTCATAGTGCTAAAGAGGACATGTATTTATATATTAGAAAAAGAAGGCCAATTGTTGGGAGTGATTGAACATGTTTAACATTTAAGGGCCTTGTAATAGTAAGTTGCCTAGAGTCTCAAAATTTTCAGGTTCGACCCTATTTAAAAGTTGAAGATCCATAACCACACTGTTTGAAAAGATAGGGAGCTCAACCCTTATTTACCCTTTTTTTTCTCCGACCATAAACATTCCCCACAGTTTTGTCAATGTAGTATTTTCTTCTCACCCAAATTTCTCTTGGAAAACTTGTGACTATGACTTAACTCTTGCTTGCTGTAAACTTAATCTCTTCAAAGCCATACATGTTAATCTCTTTGCATCAATAACATGTGGTAGGGTTGTCGATGCAACGATGGAGAATAAATTATTGATTGTTATAGACTCTGGCAAACATCTCGAGAAGAGAAATTTAAGGATCCAACTATCGAAAATACTTTTACACGCACAATAACCCGTGCCAAAGTTGGGCTAGGCCATTTTCTAGCTAGCTATGCAACCGACTTACACTATTTTTGGTTTAATTTGGCAAAAAGTGAACAAAATTTGCAATAGTGTCATCCTATCTCTAATGACCACAAAAATTGCTTTAATTTGATTGAAATGATAGTTTTGTGACTAAAAGTTGGCCGGTGGTTGCTTGTGATAAGATGGGATTTGGGAGGCATATCAAGTGGAAAACTCGAGCATTGATGTAAAAGAAGCCCACTTTTGCAGCTCCTCTTTTTCTCTAAAGAGAAGTTGATAAAAAGATACATGAACGTAATAGCTGTGCGAGAGGCACGTTGGATTGGATATAATGTATATACAAGATTTCATTTTCAATCAAATATTTCATTGGATTCATAATTTTTATCAATTTTTTAATTGCACATTCATCAACTTTTATCAAAATTTATTAAAAAATTTCTCCCTAAATCAAATGCAAAAGAAACCCACGCTGAAATGCTCCTCTTTATAAAGAAAGGAGAGTGCAAATTGTCCTTCCCAGATAATAAGATTTAGCATTCCATCGTGTAATGTCAATGTCTTTTAAAAGAATTACTCCAAAATTCTTATTTATTGATTTATTGTTAGGATTGTTGCCTTGAAATTTTCAAATTAAGAGTCCATGCCAATAAGAGATGAGATTCGAAATATGAATATTGGTTTCCATGTTCCATGTAATCTAGATTCCAATCCCTTTTGTCGCTTATTGAAAGACTAGAAATTTGAGAGGCGGTAAAGTTTAGGGTTTTTTCCTACAATACTCAGTAGATTTGGGTGAGTGAAATTCTATATAATTATAACAATTTGTCTTGTAATAAAAGCTTTGACAACCTGTAAATTTTTCGTTTTTCCTTGTTTACTATTTCTCTCTGAATAACAAAAATCCCATTGGCAATAAATGTCTTAATTATCTTTAGGTTTATATATTTCGATATTTAACCAATATGATATTTATTTTTCAATATGTTCCCGAGAGATGGTGACTCGTTTGAGTACACCAATATTAAAATCTGAACAAGCCACCTCACCACCATCGCCACAACCTACACCACCACTACCACCTCACCATTACCATTACCATTTGCAAAATTCCAGCAATAAATATTGAGATTTGGGGTCCATCTTAATAGGAAAAACCCAAGATCTTTATTAATTGGTATTTATTTCGGTATTAAACCGAGATGGGATAACACATCCCTTAATAGGTCTCCTCGAGATGATGGCTCATTTTGAGCAGACAAATCTTGAAATCCATAAAATGGCTTTGATATTATGTTAAGATTTGGGGTTCATTAATAAGATCAAACTTATTAAGATGAGGAATTCAAGATCTTTATTAATTTGTATTTATTTTAGTATTAAACCGATGTGGGATAACATCCCAAAACACCGACTAAGCAACAGATCGAAGGAAGAAGAAACAACACCAAAATACCCCAAAATTACAATGAGGACCACCACCATCTCAACATTACAATCACCACCTACACCTCCTCCACCACCACCATTTACAAACTACCAACAAAAATCACCAAAAACGTTAACTAAACAATGGATCGAGGGAGGAAAAAACAATGAAAAAATCACCTCGAACACTTCATCGTCGTTGTGTAGAGCGGCACGCATTATCGCCACTACACGAGTTTACACCCAGCGCTCTATGAACGTCGTCGTTTTTGGCAACGAAGATCTTCATTGTGCCATAGAGATGTTGGATAGAGGAGGGAGAGGAGAGGGAAAGGGGGAAGAGACAAGGGACAGGAAGCGAGAAAAAGGAAATGTTCAAGGTTTGAAAATGAAATTTGGTAGGGTAGATAGAATTGGGTGAGGTGAGGTGAGGTGAGGTGAATGTTAGATTAATTTAATTTTTTCATATTATTATCAATATTAAAAATTGAACTGTCACCGATTTTTGAATAGAAAATTTTGAATATGATTTTTGAATAATTTCCACTTGAGTATGTTTTGGTACTTAAAGATAATAATCGCTTTACACTAGATATGTATGATAGACAATATTGAACATCTTTACAATTAATAAGATACTAGTTTTATTTAATATTTTCTATCTTATCAGATAAGTCGACTTGTTACCTTATCAAAATGAAAATGGAACTCATATTTTGGGCGGTTTGAAAAAAAAAAAGAAAAAGAGAGAGGATAATAGTATATGATTTGACTTGCTGATTTTTGTCCATTTTCATTACCGCACCACTTTTTGCACTACTACTGAATGTAAGTGAACCACTTGCAAGCTATTGACATGCCATTCTATCAAATCATGTTTCAGAATTCGCCCAATTCTCCCAATTATCTATTTTTTTAAATTTATTTTCGACTATATATTTTACGAGATTCACACAATTCACCAACTTTTCAATCATACATTTTCTCTACTTTTATAAAATCTAAAAAATTCCTTTTAGCGAAAACAAATGGGGGCTGAGTCTTTAGGTCAAGCAAATTATATAGTTTGGAACTAACTTATTTAATTATGAGTAAATAAACATGTTAATCTTAGCAAACATGCTTATGAATTTATACGATTTGCACTCTCTCATGCATTCTTACAATTACGAACATTTACATTCTCTCCATACATATAATGCAATAAGTTGTACTCGTAAATTCGATACAAGTCTATATATATGGATGAAGTTGGCAAGACTAACCTTTTTGGAGAATATAATGTTATTCATCATTAATGGTGATGGCCTATCATGTGTCATCGCCTGGAATAGCATTTTAACATTATTGGTGACAAAATCAAAAACTCACAATCAGCAAGATTGGTAATCATCACTCGCAGTGATGAACAACATCATTCTTAATTAAATACGGGATTTGAATTCTTCAAAAGAGTAATAACATATATTATCACTGGTGCTTAACACTAGTTCAGATGGTTATGCATATAACTCATTTATTATCAAATGAGTTGGCTGGAAATTGGAAATGACTTTTGTCCAATTTATCATAGAAGCATTTTCTCGACTGAAAATAGTTTGACGTTGATTGTGCTTATCTTTTATTCAGAGTGTGAATTCCTATAAATTTATATTAGATTATGATGTTGCAAGACTTTACTATCCAAGTAAATTTGGGTTGATTTTTCCAACCTTTCAGTTAGAATCATCAATCTTTAAAAGTGATGTCTTGATTTCTTAACCTGTTTAAAATTTGGAATGTGATAAAAATTCAGAAAAGCCCTTTTTCTTATGGACGTATATAACCCAAAAGCAGGGTAGATCCTTGATATGTACATTAATTACACCTCATTTACTCTCATTAGTCCCTAGAAAAGGAGACATTTCGATCCAACTAACACCCCCTTATTCTTCCATTATATACCATGAGAGGGTAGGATTTTTTTGCATTTCAAGCTTTTGAACCCATTTTAATCAATTCGCCTTCGCCCCCCTCCCCTCCCCCCCGTCTCTCTTAAAGCAAGTAGAGATATAAATTGGAGAAAACCAACTAAAAAAGCGGTACTTCTAAGCAGCGTGTTGAGTTTTAGAACTTGTAATCACCACCATGGAAGATTTGCATGGTGACTTCGGGCGGCTCAGCCTCAGTGGATGTAAAACAGAATCCAAAGATGAAGATCTTCAAGAAGAGGAAATGTGGGATTTGTTGAATAAGAGAGAAGGTTCAAGTTCAAACTCAAAGATGAGAGAAAAAAGGCTACCCACGGCGGAGGTGGCGATTCCAAGAGCCATTCAAAGAGACACCAGGGTCGGTGGCGTACACCAGGAGCCCACCGGGGTAGTGCACCATTCATCAGCCCCTGTGTACATCCCTGAGTGGTCCAAGAGTTTTAAAAGTAAATTTGCTCATTTTGATGCCGAGGAGGAGGACGATGACGGTGGTGAAGTGGTGCCGCCGCACGAATATTTGGCCAGGCGGATGGCTGGGAATCAGACAGCTTTCTCTATGTTTGAAGGAGTTGGAAGGACACTCAAGGGAAGAGACCTCAGCAAATTGAGGAATGACATTCTAACCAAGACTGGCTTCCTAGAATAAAAAAAGTTAGTAAGGTGTCAAAATATGTCAAGCTGTCTTGGTTCAATGGCCTAGTACGGCAAAAGTCTAGGAACGGGCTGTGCCGAGTCCAATCCTGCATGCTCTTTATTTCATCGCAAAGAGTTCCATTTCTCTCCTTCTCCCTTTTTTGGATTTTTAATATATATTTTACTCCACACATGATCGTCTGTCTAGTTGAATATTAAGCCCGCCCCCCGAGGCACATCCGAGTTGGTGGAACAATTGCATTGGTGGGCTCACAAACCAAGCGTGGAGGGTTCGATTCCTGGAAGGCAGTATCTTGGAAGGGGGATTTATCTCGAAGACAAGGTGCTGGAAGGCAGTGCAGAGGGCCCTCTTTGGGGAAGGAATAAAAGTCATGCAGGAACCTGGGAGCCAATAAGGGCACAACCCGCGATTAACTTCCTCAAGCTAATGAGAGGCCGGAGACTTGAGGTCCAAAATTTAGTCTGGCAAAGCTGGGACACCTGGGTATAAAAAAAAATATTAAGCCCCCGTTTGGTAGCAACTTCTCATCCCAATAAATTTATTTTTTTTACCGTTATTTCAGTATTCCAACCGTTATTTTTTATTTCTTCACTTACATGTGAGATTCATTTTTCGAAACGATCAAAAAATCAATTCTTATAATCACTACAGAACATACCAAATCTGCCATCAAACACCTTGAGGAAGTCAATAGCCATCTATGAGGTTTTGTATGGATTTGAGGAAATCAAGTTTTTTTATTTATTTATTATTATTATTATTTTTGGGTGACGAGTGAACCTGTAGCCGCTACCATTCGGATGCGCATTGGGTAAACCCTCGAACTGACATAATACTCTGCAAACCACGCCAGTCAGGTAAATCGTACTAGACTAGCCCTGTGCAACAAGCTCGATCGAAAAAGTGTTGGTAGGAGAATCTAATTCGTGACCAAATGCCTCCCCGCTTACCTATTCCACGAAATCAAGTATTCTTTTATCAATTGGAAGTAGTCGATTCCTTAATGTACAAATGTTGTTCGACAATTTTTTTTATTTTTTATTTTTTATAAAAGTTAATATGACGTGTAGTTAAAAAGTTAATAATTTTTTTGAATTTCATCAAAGGTGTCTTAAATTAATGAGATCCATAATTTTTATTAACTTTTACAAAAAAAAAAAAATGCTAAAACTTTTGGAAAAACTTTGTCGTACATATCCTTAACAAAGCCATTTAATATCCCACGCAATAACATTTTATCTAAATTCTATTCTTTGGGCGTCCCATGTCATGATATAGTCGAACTTCATAACTTTGTTGATGATTAGTCGAAAACCGATAATCTATTGCGGTTGAGTTCAAGTTCTATCTCAACAACCATTATAATTAGATAATTATTTAATTAAATTTGCATAAAAACTAAAAAACTAAAACATTATTATTATAAGAGTCCAACCTCGGATGTTTGCAAACTACATCAACATAATGAATTCTACCTGAAATTTCAAATTCGGGTTACATTCGTCATACCTAATATGAGGTCGTCACTTGGTGCCAACCTATTCATCTATTAGAAAATTGATCTTCGTTAGAATATAATAAATTTGTCTTCAATTTTTCATTATAAATGTATAATCAATCTTCAATTATGAACACAATTAAAACCGATGTGAAATACTCTCTTAATTCTCGTATGTTTAATTCTATTAATCTAACTTTTATTTCAAAACATGTCAAAGTATCTAAAAATTCAAGACAATAAATATTTTAAGCCAGTTTTAGTGACAACTTAAATTGTTTGATCATCGAAGATGGAGAATGATAATGCAACTAAAATCTGAGTTTCATAATCAACTGAATTCTATTTAAAGGTTAAGACTAACTTACTATTAAGTCAATAGATCCAGGATGAATTATGCAATATCTTTCGACAAAATTATTATTAAAATAGGAAACGTTCCTTGGTCAAGTTCTGCTATTTGTTTGGGACAGTTTGATAGGATTTTGTATTGAAAAATATTTGACTAATTCTACTTTCACAGGCCTTTTATAGGCCAATCATGCGAGGAAATACCTCTTAATAGCCTAAATATTAGAGTAGTTTGTAAGATTAGACCAAAAAATATAAACATTTGAAGAATAGTCTTTAAACAATATATTTTCCAAAAATACCCCTTATTGTGAAATTGCAATCAAAGCCACTACAATGTATGAAAATCTTCAATTAGATCCTCAAAGAAATATAGAAAAAAAATCTTTAATAAATTTAAACCCAAGTATTATACAAAATTTTATTGATTTAAAAAATGCAACAGAAAATGAATTAAAATATTTAGAAGAAGATCTGAAATGTTTCTTTACAGAATATTTAGATTCAAAATTAAAAAATAAAAATGTTTCTATAGATAATAGAACAATTAAAACAGAAAATGATATATATAAACTAATTCTTAACTTGAGAAGAAGAATTAAAGAACTAAATATAATTATTGAAGAAAAAGTATTAATAGAAAATAGTGAACTTTATAAATTCTATTGTGATATTTTAAATACTAATGAAAATTTTAATTGGCTCAAAAATCTTAACTCCTCCGCTGCACACTCCGAAGAAATGGTATCAGAGCCATGTTACGAACTAAAAATTATGATGAATATAGTAGATGAAGAAAATATAATTGAAAATTTTTTGAAAAAAGTTGAAAAATATAAAAAACCTAGTTATCCCTATTTACCTAAAAATACTACAAATGAAAGTTTTGGAGATATACACAAAAGATTAGAAAATCTGGAACATAATTTACAAGTAGGAAACGCTCTTTTAGATAAAAGTCTTAAAAGAAAAGATAGGATTATAATTAATCCACCTCAAGATTTTATGATAACACAAAAGGAAAATAATAAAGGGGAAAGACATGAAGAATAATAATATATGATTACAGATGTAGAAGAAATAGAACAAAAATTCTTAGAATCTATTGGTGAAGAATATGAAGAATATAAAAAACAGTTAGAAGAATTAATTGAAAAAATGGAAAATACAAAGATGAATACTAATCCATCTTCAAGTCAGAATATAAAAGTAGAATTCAGTAGTGATGAAGAACAAGATTATCCTTATGGTACCCCAATATCTAATAAGGATGGTATTTACCAATATAGAAAAACGCAGAAAAATACATTGAAAATGTAAGAAAACAGTTCATAAAAGAAATAAATTCGATGAAATCTTATAATGAACCAATCCATACAACAGGGATATGGTTAGATTTAGACTGTGTAGATAAAAATAAAGCTATTGAAACATGGATGAAAAGTACAGATTTAGCAATACAATTTAATAAATGGGAAATATATACAACTTTTGGATTTATAGAACATACATTCAGAGGAATTGTTTCTGAATGGTGGAGAAAATTACCAGAAACTATTAAAGGAAGGATAAAATATGGAGCAGGTAGAACTGAGGTATTAGATAATAGGAATTCTTTAAATGAACAAAATATACAGGAGATATTAAAAAGATTTGAAAAAATCTTAAGAACAGAATTCTTAGGAGATAGATATACTTCTAATGATGAAGAAAGAAAACAAGATGAATATAATCAAGGGATGATAGCAATGGAAAATTTAAAGATATGTGATATGTGTGAGATAGGAAGATACACATGTAAATTTGAAGAAATATACTATATATTAAACCAAGGAGATTATCAAGAAAATAAACCTATATTAAGGTCTTATTTTACTAAGTTACTATTCCCATGGGGAATTAAATTATTAAAAGAATATGAAAAATTATTACTTCTAGGAGAAGAGGAAGAAGTAAAAATAGATAGTTTTGGAAGTAGAATTGCATTTATAAAAAAAATGATAGGCATATGGTGTAGAGAAGCTCTGGAAAATAAAAAAGCATATAAAATAAGAAAAAATTCATTATGTTGTTATAAAGATAAGGGCTAAGTTGAACAATTTGGATACCATAAGAAGAAATATAAACCATATAAGAAATATAAAAGAAAATTCAAAAACTACAAAAAATTCAAGAAGAGAAATTTTAAACCACATAAAAAATAATTCAAGAAAAGAAATTGGAATAAAAAATTTAAACCAAGAAACATTAAAAAATGTAGATATTTTATTTATAATGAAGAAGGACACATTGCCCCCTTAATGTCCTAAAAAGAAAGACAGACAAAATATAAAAACTCTTAGAATTTATGAAAAATTTCAAGAAGATAATGATATAGAACCAATTGAATATTTTGAAGATCTAAGTAGTAAATGCAGTAACATTTATGAATTAGATACATCCTCATCAGAAGAAGATTATGAGGAGATAGATATATGAATCAGGAGATACAACAATCAGAAATAGAAATAGAAACAATTGAAGAAGTTGAAGACTCTATAGAAGGTATAAATCAAAAAATTACCTTTGATATTAAAAAATACACAGGAATCACTAAGAAGATATTAGACTTACAAGAGAAAGATGTATTCCATCAAGGATTCTTAGGAATTTTACCAAAAGTAAATAAAACAGTTGTAAGTATGAATTACAAAGAAACGTCTATCAATATAGAAGATACTATAGGAAAAGCGAGGATTCCTATAATTACAAAAGAATGGGTAAAACAAAAGTTATCTAAAATTCCAGAAAACGTAATAAACAAATTAAAATACATTGAATTAGAAGGAGTCCAGATAATGGTAAAATGATTTTTTAGAGAAGGTATGAACATACCAATAGAAATCTACTGTATGGACAACAGAATCTTACAAGATCCTATAGATGCTCTATTAGGAACAGTTGTAGAAAACTTAGTCTATCAGAAGATAATATTTACAGTAAAATCAAATTATGCAATATCATTAAATGATGAAAATATTGACCAAAGTTTCAATCTATACTATAGAATTGGAAACTTGAAAATGTTACGAAGAAGTAAGGCTATTAGTATAAGTATAAAATCAATCTTTACTTTAGTACTAGCCATAATAACAACTTAAGAAAGATAACTGATAACATTATCATACATAAAGATTTTGAGGAATTAGCACAATATATACCTCCTAGGAAATACCAAGAACATGAAGTTACTATACCAGAACCATATATATTTAAGGATTATTTAGGAAATAATCTTGAGATAAGAAAATATATTAAGTTCTCTCTTATACTTATAGGAGAGGATCAGAAAGAATATACTAAAAAAATAATTCTATATAAAGATGAATTATATGGAGTAGATCGTTCACCTATCCTATTAGGAATGAACTTTTTTGAGAAATATAGTCCTTATAAAATCTGTCGAGGATATCTGAAAATAATAGTTGATGATGACCTAATCAACATATCAAGAATAGATGAAAATATGAAATCATTGTTATCATGGAAAGAGTAATAAGTACTAATCACATGAGTCCATATATTGAAATTACACTTAATATAAAAAGTTATTGTAGAATTAAATTTCATGC